CCCCGCCACGGACATGCTATGTCCATGGCGGTTTGCGCATGTTTTTTTACCACCACGAACATGCTATGTTTGTGACGGGGTACCGCCACTGACATGCTAGGTCCGTGGCTGTCTTTAATCCTCGCTGTCCAAAAAAATCGGATAACACCGAGCTTATGGGCAAAAAAACTGTTCATTTTCGCCCATAGGTGTTGCATAATGGCTTCCATATATATATATAGAAAACGTTTATATAAGGTTGAGGCCCTAAGCAATCAAACTAAGGTGCACCTCAAAAATTGAATTGAAGAAGTTTCGATGCCGAAAAACCCTTAAATCTGATCATCTCGACCTTGAGATCTTGGACGTAAAAGAAATGCACTTCAAATCTTGGAAATAGTGCATCTTGTAATACACTATTACAACCATCAATTTTCAAGTATTTATGGATTTTCTTGATTTACTCTATTTTTTGAGCTTGAAATTTTATAATTAGAGTTGAAAATAAATTTTCAGGCCATCATAAATATTTTCATATTACTGAAATGACATCTTTTGACACTATTTGAAAGTACGCCTCTTTGATTTTTTAGGGCCTCAGCGTTATACAACCCACACCCTCTATATATATATATATACATATATTACATGAGCTAATTGTCAATGGAGAGCCCTTTTAGAATGTGAGTCGTTGCTTATATTTAGCTTTTTTTCATTTGGATCAAGATATGGATTGGGATATTTATTAGTAGTAGATGTGTAAATATGCATATTTATCTTGTTTGACTCTATGAAATTTTTATTATTGAATTGATATTACCCTATTAAATACAAATACTTTAAGGTATGAATTAAACTAGCTAATTACCAGGTCTCCAGGTTTGAAACCTTCCAAGTGGTGGCAAACACAAGTATCTAGGCTCCCTCAAATTTCTAGATAAGTTATCAAACACATTATTTTTCTAGTACAAGGAGCTAGGTCATCTAGCTTTTGAGGGAGTCCGAACAAGGGGCTAGGTCATCTAGCTTTTGAGGGAGTCCGAACTTCCAGCTTCTAGGGCACTGCCTGCTTCTAGTTGTCGAATAGGCCCAGAGTGAAATTAGTGAAAAGCCTTACTTAATGAAAATTTCTATGGCCCAAGAACGCTGGAGGATGTGCACTGATTTTTTCTAGCACCATGCTTTCTCTAGGTATTCTGTGCATCTTCTCTGTGGACTCTCTCTCTTTCTTACCTTTGTTTTTCACGTTCTCTCTCTCCATATCTTTTTCCTTTTGGGTTTACAATGCAAAAGTTCATGCTTTTATGAAATTTTTTATGGCCAAGCTACCTGATCGAGTTTCTCTTCAAGTTTTATTATTTTTTCACCTTTGAAGATTCCCCATTTACCTTCAGTTATTTCTCTTGCAGATTCATGGAGTATTCTGTGTAATGTCTTATGGATACTTTGGGTGTTATATTGGGTTTACTTTTTATTAGAACCGGAAAAAGGTTTCACTGGCTTTTCTTTGGCAGCAGAATAAGAGGAAATATTTAATGAGTTTTCTTCTAAGAGAGATGATTACTAGCTTGTCTTTCGCTAGCAGCAAAAGGAAAGAAAAAATTTACTGGGTTCTCTTTAATTTCGCAATAGAATAGAAGACGAGAGAAGATTCACTGGTCCTGTTTTCTTTGAAGCAGAGGAGAGAGAGAAAAGAGAGAATCCCTGGATATAGACTTGGTTTGCTCTTCTATTTTCAGGTTCCATGGACTTCTCAAAGGAATGGAAATCTCAGTTTCCTGTAGGCTCGGTCTTCCCTTGCCCCCGCCTCATCACCGGCGAATCTGCTCACTCCCTTGGCCCCCACTGCTTTTCACCAATCAACCCTGCAGCCCACTTTCTATCGCTAGCAAACACTCTAGTTTGCTATTCTCCTCCGTCAACAGCCCAAGACGTCTTTTCCACCGCTGATTGGTTCTATCGACGATCAGATGATGACTTCATTCCTTTCCCTCTCATCTTCTCCACCACCAAAAGTGCAGCCGGAAAACATTCTTCACGCCATTTTTCTGGTAACCCCCTCCATCTTCTCACATGTCGCAACGGTGAAATTCTCATTCTTTTCCCATGTGGAGGGAATTCTGATCGGCTTGCCTATGTAGTAGGCAGAAGAGAGAGAGACAATGGTGGTGGTTTTTCCCTCCTCAAGGATAGTGTTTTCCTTCTTTCTCCAAGTTTCAAGAATCGAATAATTCGGGTCTCTGTGATCTCAACAGCAGATTGTGCCTCTTCCTCTGAAGTATGCGATCAATTTACAGAGGGTTTTGTTCTACTTTGTTCTCATTATGAGGTTCATTGGCTTAGAGTTGGTGTTAGGAATTCGACACCATTATCACATAATTTAGCATCAGCCACTTTTAAAAATCAGGTGGCCATGCTTGTTGGAGTCCATATTTATCTGAAGAGAGTGCAGTATTGTTGGTTAATGGGGAATTGAGATTATATGACTTAAATTATTGTGTTGGGGTCAAGAATCTGCCTGTGAAATTTAAGGGAGAGTTGGTTTTGAAGAATTTGGGGAGTTTGATTTCAAGAGAGTCTGACAACGATTGGTTTTGTTGTGAATTTGGATGGCATCCTAGGGTTTTGATTGTTACTTCTAAAACCATGGTTTTGATGGTTGATTTTAGGGACAAGAAGGTGAAGGTTACAGTTTTAGCAAAGATCGAATTATGTGATTCTGTCAAGCACCATTTCATAGAGAGTGATAGATTTCAAGCTTTTTGCAAACCCAGTTTTGATGGTTTCCTGTTCTCGGTGGCTACTAAATACTATCTGTTACTGTTTGACACTAGGAAGCCATTAGATCTTGTATTGCAATGGGATCATCATCTGGATCATGTGCGTTACATTAATATGTATAGATTATCAGAACTCAGACCATCTAATGGAAAACTTAAATGGGCTTGATTCAGGTTACGTTACTTTGGTGTGTTCTTTTCGAAATTGTGAATTTAGCCTCTTTTGTTATGGGCCTCATCCTATAGTTGATTTGAAGCCAGGTTGGACCTCAGATAGTGGTTCTTTATATGCTTGGGGTCTTCCATCTGAGATCGCTTTGGTTTCACAGGATTGTTGTTGTGTTGATTGTGAATTGAAAGAAGAATTCAGGACAGATTCATATAAGCTGCAAAAGCCTGAGAAGGTTTTGGGTTTTTGTGTACTTAGTGAGCCATGTTCAGAGAGATATGAAGATGATTGTACAAGTGGTTTCTTTATGATTAGGCTGACATGTAATGGGATCTTTGAAACATTGAAATACCAGGCTTTGTGGGATTTCTTTGGTGTAAAGTTCAGTTGTAAACCGGTTCAGGTACAATCCAAGACTACATTTCCTTCACATGTGGAACCAGAAGACATCGATCATCTCAAATTGCTGCACAAAAAGTTTCATTACTTCTTGGGATACTTTAGTGGTGGTCCAACTCTTGCTGAAGTTTTGAATTCGAGACTAGAAGAAACTTCAAGTAGAGGATCAATGCATTGTAACAATGTTGAAAGTACTGAAGCTGCAAAGGAGTTAATATTGGAGGCATGGAAAGCTTCAGGTCAGGTGGAGTTTGGCTCACGTCCCTCGATGGACTATGTTCTTGGTGACATAAATACTTCTAGCAGTGCTCATGAAATTATATCTAAGAGAATGTGGACTAGTCTAAATTTGTGTTATGTGGAGTTGGCATTTGTGAGGAATTCAGATCTGAATCACACTGGTCTTGACTTCTTGGCCATTCCTAGCTTCTCTTCCACTCAATTGCCACCTTTTCCATTTCGTGTACCATCGAAAAGTTATGGGAGATCACGCTCCAAGGCTACTAAGAAGTGTGATCAAGTTGGTCCTCCCACTGAGAAGGGTGATGTAATTGATCTAGTGCCTCCCCATCTAGTTGGGCCAGTGCTCCCCCTTCCGCTTTTCCTAACTTTTCAGATCATCGATAAAGGAAGAGTATCTTTTGTTCCTGAGATTAATTGGTTGTCTGCAGATGCAGAAATGGGTAGTCAATGTCAAGAACTCATCAGTTTAGCCAAGAGTTCGAAACTGTCGAAATCTCGTCGTAGAACTGAAGTGCCTTATGCAGTGTCTCTCTCTAATGATTATGATGCATGGACTGAGTCCCAAGACCCCGAAGAAGAGTGGCACTTATTTCTGCATGAGACCCAGGCAAATAATTTGGATCCTGAGAAGTTACCCCTTGAAAACCTTTCTTTTGGGAAATCAGAATTTGGTCATTACAAAGACAACAGATCTGATATTTTTATTACTGCATTGCATAAGAAAAATTGTGATCCTAGAGGTGAAGAGAAACTAGATGCATCAGAACTCTTTGACGAGCTAAGCCCTGTGAAGCTGAATTTTGGTGGATCTAAAGTCAAAGTTGAATCAGAAGAGATGGAAATAGAAATATTTAAATGCTTGAAGAAAGATTTTCTCAATGGAAGGAAGGTTTCAAGCCATACCAAGATTATTTGTTACCGAAGATGGAGAAAGGTGGAGAGTAAAAGATGGAGAAAGAAGATGGATGGTGACCATTTCATAGTATGTATCTCCACTTTGAATTGGCTTTTTTCATCTGATTGGGATTGGCTGTTTTCTCTTTGGACTTTATTTCTTGATGTGACATTGGCATTGGGTCTTAATGAGGGTGTGATACGGGCGTTTCATGTGTCAAATGCACTTTGAATTCCCTTTTTGGTGAAGGGGTCCCCCCCCTATGTTGTCCCCCTCTATTCGTTTTGAATAACAGGTTTATAGACTTGAAACTTAGAATTTCCTTTCCGACACAACTGACCTTCGGTTTTGTGCTCTCCTTTCTTATGCAACATTATTCTCATGTCTTGTGATGAGAATTCTTCCTTTGATGTATGATGTGTGGATCCTATTTATTGATATTAGAAAACAGTCTGTGTTCTTCTTAGATTAAGGCAAAGAATAAAAGGAACAAAGAACTGTATTTATTTTTTAAAGAATATATTATATTATTAATTGGAATACCTTTTTTTTTTTGGTGCTTTGTGGTAGGTAATCTGGGATCTTAATCCAAGGCCACAGCGACCCCTTTTATTTCATCATAATCATTAGAGCTTTTGACCAACTATTTATGGTTGGCTAAAAATTTCACTGTGACCCCTGTTACTTGTGATTAGTAAATATTTGACTCCTATGAGTTTGCACAGAAATAGCTTAAACACAGGTCTTATAAAAGGAGTGGAATTACGATGAAGATTCTTTGAATTGGAAGTAGAATTTTGTTATGTGGATTTCTGATTGACGAGTTCCCAAAGTCTATTTATTATGAGAGTAAGTAATGACATTTAGGAGCTGCTCAGGAACAGAACTAGAATGCAAATAACTTGGAATTCCAAGTTGCAACTGACAATAAATTAATGAAAGTTTTATGCAAAGTCTGGGGGTCTGTTCATCCGTTTTATGTTCTTTCTTTGTCATTATATCGTTTTCCTTTCATTTTAATTAGGCTCTGAAACATTTTATTTGCTCGAGTAAAAGTCATCTTGTGACTTTAAATTCAGGAATTTAAGACTCTAGAGAATTAAATGTAATTAAAACTTTTATTTTTTGAAACTCTATTTACGTGTGTATCTTTGGGAGTACAAATTTTCTAAGTCTTGAGGTTGCAATTATGAGGCTAGGATTGTGGGTCATTGAGCAAAACTGTTCATTGCAGATTATAATCTCAATTTAACATGGCACATGGCTCTGATACCATTATAGATGTGCATAAATAACAAACGAAGACAAATTATAGATAACAGAGTAGAAAGATAACAAATGATAGATAATAGAGTAGAAAGCAAACCAAAATATAGATAACAGAGTAGAAAGATAACAAATGATAGATAACAGAGTAGAAAGCAAACCAAAATAGTACATAGAAAGCTTACAAGCAAGAAGCAGAAGTAGAAGCAGAAGGAAGAAGCATAAAGAAGTACACCAAAAGCAAGAAACTAGGCTGAGAGGCTCTAAGCAGCGTTCTGTCGTTACAAATGACCTGAGGGGCCTTTTATAGGCACTGGACAAATCACTATTGAAGAATCACTATTCAAGATGAGGACAAATCACTGTTCAAGATAAGAACGAATCAGCTTTTTACTGTTCATGTCGGCCACCTGTCCACTGTTCGTAAGCTTTTTATTGTTCATGTCGGCCACCTGTCCACTGTTCATAAGCTTTTTACTGTTTATAATGGCCACCTGTACAGGTCAGCTTTTTAAATTATTATGGTTTGAAGTCCGGATTTCACGTCCGGTGCCTATAAAAGGCCCCTCAGGTCATTTGTAACGGCAGAGCGCTGCTTAGAGCCTCTCAGCCTAGTTTCCTGCTTTTGGTGTGCTTCTTCTTTATGCTTCTTCCTTCTACTTCTACTTCTGCTTGTACTTCTGCTTCTTGCTTGTAAGCTTTCTATGTACCATTTTGGTTTGCTTTCTACTCTGTTATCTATCATTTGTTATCTTTCTACTCTGTTATCTATATTTTGGTTTGCTTTCTACTCTGTTATCTATCATTTGTTATCTTTCTACTCTGTTATCTATATTTTGGTTTGCTTTCTACTCTGTTATCTATCATTTGTTATCTTTCTACTTTGTTATCTATCATTTTTGGCACCTCTGAGGTTTCTTAACTTCCAGTTTTCTTGGGATGTTGCTTAATGTTTTTTCTTTTTCCACATTGGTTCATTAACTAAACACTGTTAAATGCATGAATCGTTTGATTTCATTGTAATTAGAGGCTATGGTGGTGGGTCTTTGAGCGTAATTGTCGATTTTGGCACCTCTAAGGTTCTTAACTTCCATTTTTCTGAGATATTGCTTACAAAATTTTGTTCTTTTAATGTGGATTCATTAACTAAACTCTATTAAATCCAGGAATTGTTTGATTTTATTGCTTGTGGTTTAAGATTTGTCCAAACTGAAAATGGAGTGTTACATTCTTGATGTGATTAAATTTCATTCATTTTAAAGTTATTGGAAAGAGTAATTTAAAGTGTCAGATTGAGTCTAGATGGTTTCATCATCATCGTCCGAGCTTTATCTGGGGTTGGCTATATGAATCTTCTTCCACCATTCCATTCTATCAAGGGTCATACCCTTAATCAAACTGTAAGTCATCATATCTTTTCTCATTACATCCATTCATGTTCTTTAGGGCCTTCCCCTTGCTCTCCTAAGGGGCGTTTGATAACGGTGAATGTGTGGAAAGTCCCCAACTTTCTCTTATACTATAGCTTTACCTAGTTTAGAAACAACAAAAAGGTGGAAAGTTGGAACCACCACATTCCCCAAAACACTATTTCACTGGGGAAAGTTGCGGGACATTGGTACCCCTCTTAGCAACTTTCACAAAAAGTTAATGAGCAAAAAGTTGTAACATGGAAAAACTCGTTGGGGCTATAAAGTCCAAAACTCATCCACACAGGGGACCCTTGGTTAACTCACCTCTTTGAGAAGAAAAACTCACCACCCTGTGAGAAGAAAAATTCTTAGCAACTTAACCATCCAACTTTCTAACCCTTTCTCACTCAAAACCCTAGCAACTCAACCATCCATTGCCACTCACCCCGACAAAGCTCAACCCTCAACCAACTCCTGTCCTCCTCGCCTTAGGTCTGTTCCCCTCATCGCGCCCGTTGCTGCAAGCTAAGCGCTTAGAGAAAGCTACAGCAAGTCCTTTTTTAATTTTTTTATTATTTAGAGCTCAAAAACGTTAATCCCAGATCTAAATGAGATTTTATTTTTGATTTAGGTTCTTTTTTTTTATTATTAAGCTCAAACAAGATTAACCCCAAGTCTACGAGAGCTTTGTTTCTTTTTTTTATTTGATTTTTTGTTTCCTTTTTTTTCTTGGTTATGCACAAAGAAGAAAACCCCCATATTCACTGAGTTTATTTATTTATTATTTATGTTTTATTTTTCTAGTTTGTCACATAAATTTGATGTGAGTTTTCTTTTTATTGAGAATTACTATTTTGGGGCTCGAGAGTTTGATTAATTTGATTTTGTTTATATAATGTAAAATGTTTTGGGCTTTAGGTGTTTGATTAATTGATCATTATTGCTATCGTTGTTATGTTGTTTTTGTGGTGTCATTGAACTAATTTTCATTTGGTTTTATGAGTTAATAATCTAAGTATTCTTTTATTCGTTTTATTTTATTTATTGCTGAAAGTTTATTTAGGAGGTTGTATTATGCTATTGTTATTTGCTTACAGAATTTTTGGGGTTTTCTGTTATTTGGTTTTTGTACTCATTGGGCTGAAATTTATGGAGGAATTCCTTTGCAGAATGAGATATTCTTGGGTTTTTCCAGTTACTTTTATCCGGGGTTTAATTTAATTGTGCTGTTGTTGAAATGGCATTATCTCTCATTGGTAATAGAAAGCCGTGAAATTGAAAATTTTAACTGTGTTTACTTCATGTGACAAGATCATTCTAGATTGAAGTTCATATATCAAAGTAGTTGAGAATTCTACAACGTAAGGATACCTAGGTGCACCTCCATCCTGATCCTTAGTTTTTGTTTAGGTAGATTGGGAAGGAAAAGTTGCTCTGATTCAATGTGCCAAAGCCATGGGTGTTCAGAAGTATGTGTTCTTTTCCATCCATGATTGTGATAAACACCCAGAAGTTCCTTTGATGGAAATCAAGTGCTGCACTGAGAGGTTTCTCCAAGATTCAGGTCTAAATCACATCACAATCAGATTATGTGGCTTCATGCATGTACTCCATGCTTATTATTTTTTACAATGTTATGAATTATGATATTACTGTTCTTGGCTTTAATCTGACAATATTTGTCCACTGAGTTCTGTTTAACATGCTGGTTTGTTGGTACCTAAATCATTTTTCATGCTGTTCATATACTTGAAAAATATTCTCGGGCCTACTAGGAATGAAGTTGAATTTTCTCATGTGTTTTTCATTCAAAAGATGTTGAGGATTACTACGACCTAATATATTCCTTGTATGTTCTAATGCATTAGCATAAGTACTGGACTTGATTATTTTTTTTCCTATATTTCAATGGGATTTGTTATCTTGAAATCTATGAAGATTCGAGGGACTAAATGATTAATTTTAGTTTGCGCTGAAAGCACATTCTGCTTCACCTTGACGCATCTCTCTGGCAAGTGGATTTTGGGCAATTGAGTTTTTACCACTAATACACATATGGAAACTTCTCAGCATGAACCAAAGCTGGTTTGGAGATCCTATGTTGAATGTTAGGTAGCAGAGAAACAACACAATACCCACTCATATGATCTTATGCTTATTTCTGGCTCTTCATTGCTTTTCCAAATCCTGCATGGAGGGTGAGATTTGGAGGAGATTAGTCCAGTGCCCCAGTTTTGACTATAGCTGTGCTGACGTGAGAACTTGGCCCTTGCATGCGCATCACAGTTTGAATTTTGCGACCTTGAACAGTGTCTTTTGATTAAGGCTCATTACCACTAAGCTAAATAAGTTACCATAAAGTTATCTGAAGATTCCTAAAAAGGCTATACCACGAGTTGGTTAATGGCATCCCTTACCAAACTTGGGTCGCTCTTTGGTAATAGAAAATGTTTTTGTCAATGGGAGAGGTGTTATCCATAAAATGTATCTTTGTTTGTTCTCAACCTTTTACTGTATGCAAGGGCCGAGTGGTGCTGCTCCTCATGGGTTATAAGTTATCATTTGTTTAGCATGACAACAGCTGGAGGCTTCATGGATATGTGTGTCATTTGTTGGGAAAGCAAGACGTGCAGCCTTGAGGATATGAAATACACATATCAGTTTGAATAGATGCTGTAACCTTGCAGTAATTTTCTGCGACAATGATCAGTAACTTCCTAAGATCGTTTTATTTTCCTTCTTTTGAAGAAAGAACACCAGCAAGCAATTTCTGCTATTTTTTTTTTGTTGTAAAAGTTGAATAAGATTTTAAGTCTTAGAAAGCATAGATTCTTAACTGTATGTTAATTAGGGTTCATATGCTATCAAGCAATAAATATAATGCATGAGAATTTGGCGTGCAGTGTTTCTTAATGGAAAACTACTTCGATGGCTCTACATCGATGGTTCTAGTAGATGTATGCAGTCTTTAAGACACATGGATTTGCTAATGAGTAGTTAAAATAAAAAGATGGTAGTGCTCAGAAAATTAGCAGTGTTATGTTCATATGTTGAATCACATGTACATTCATCAATGAATTCGTATTAGAATTATTTTTGCAGATGGGAATTTTTACGCACTCAAATTGATTGGGTGGTTCAACAAGTCATATAATCTGTTGCCAGGTGGACTAAAAGCACTTGATTACTGTATTCAGTCGAGGCATTATTTGACCAACAACACGCCATTAACCAGTCTGCTAGTGCCTCATCAGTTCAGCTTGATAAGAATGGACTGTTTCTGAATTCCTTAATTTCTTATGAACCTAAAATTAGATTCTATGAATGTTTCTGGCATACTATAATATAGTGCCTGACCTCCCTGTAGAGAAGATAGTCCCATACATTAGGACTAAGAGATATGTGATTAAGAAGGCGTCCCAAAAGTTGGCGGGATCTAATATGTCTGATAAAATCCAGCTTGTTCCCCTACTCGTATTATTCTATTTTTTTGCACTAGGTTTTTTGCTATGATTGCAAGGAGCTTGGAAATATTATTCATAACTACCATATACTCAGGTGCAGTAGCCAAGTGCCGAAAAGCAGTTGCTCAGATAGAGACTACTCAGCCAGAGGTAGAAGATCAATTGATCAACCATGTCATCATTTACTATGTCATAAGAGTGGATGCAATATATTGCTTAGCTTATATGGTCAACTCAGACATCCTGTTCATCATTGCCTCATTCCATTATGCTTGGATGACTGATTCTGGTTCATACAATCATCGGACCAACAATACTTTGTTTGTCTCACTGTTCTTCTGGTTTTATGCCATCATTTGTTCAGGTTTCTGATTCCACTCATTTTGGCTGTTCCAAAAATAGGAATATTTAATCCTTTAAGATCCATTTGTTTGCTTAATGTCTTTCATATCCTTAGTTGACAATGATGCATGTATCTGTTGTTCCACTTGTTCATAAAGAGATTGTAATGTTGCTTTCTCACTGTAGGACGGTTCTGCATAGCTCTATGGTACATGGAGTCTTTTCTTTGGGTGTTGTACCCTTGTTTGATGCATCGACAGCCATACTTAAACAGATTGTTTTGAGCAGACATATGTGAAATTTGAAAATGTCTATAAAGCTTTCAAAATATCTATAAATTCTACCAATTAAGGTATGATTGACCATCTCTTGCTCCTCATTGTGAGATGGAATACTAGTAAACCATTGTTGGAGTTAGTTGCCTCTTCATAATATAGCGATGTTAGTGAATAGTCTTCTCCATGGCATGAGGAATCCGAACAACCGTTACCCGTGTCAGACATTGATGTAGGTAACCGTGTCCATGCAATATAGCGGAGAATCGTGTGACATACAGATTGATATAAAGTACACATACTACTCTAATGTCAGGACCATGTGCATTAATTGTTTCCAAATCATGTTGGTTCATGTGCATTTTCTACTAGTCCTTTCCTCATATTGCACTCAATATTGAGACATCCATGTTCTTTGTATAAGAAAAATCATTAATGGCAATAATATCCCATGAGCCTTAAGAAGAGACCGTTTATCTTTTGTACATGGAGGTCACAATCATTCCCCTTCATTAGATGTTAAATTGGATGGCTTGGGGTGAATTACTAAGTCCGAGAATTCTTTTTGCAAATTTGTCTATTCAATGACACTCTTACAACCACTCATTTTGAAAGTTAAGGGACAAGAATGATTGTGACTTTTATGTATAACAGATAAATGATTTTTTTGTTAGACAAGCTTTCTTTTATTTAAATTAAAATACATTCCTAAGATCTTGAGAGAAATGAAAGATAATATTTTCCTCTTAATTTTCACACTAAATCTCTCTATCTTGCTCTCTGACCTATCTCTATCACTCGTCTTAAAATCTCTCATTTATTTATTTCTCTCAAGCCTACCTAAATTCTTCCTCCTATACCTTAAAATTGGTACTTTTTTTTGTGTGAGGTCATTGCCCTAAATCCTCTCTAGTGTAGGATCATATTGTGACATATATCTACCCCGAGTTAATTATATATAT